ACAAGCAAATTCCTATAATACACAAAACTGATGGTGAGGATGGGATCCCAGTGAGCAAGATCCAGCTAATGCTTCATTGTGAACTGTAAATGCCAAGTGCTACAAGGGAGGAGAAAGGGAGCTATACTGACAGGGCTTTCTTCCCATAGTGTGTTCAGTAGTTGGCTTCTAACATGTCAATGTTGGACTACAAGAATTTTACATTGTGCAGGGCTTCCTGCACTAACTGTGATAAGTTCTATGATGAAATCCTTACACTAATGAACAATCACTTTGCTGAAATAGACGGTTCCATTTCATCCAGTGCCATCAACTGTCTGATAAAAGGGTTCCAGCATATGTAACTGAGTTGCATCAATGGTCCAAAAACTGTAATTTTAGCACCAATCTTGAGTCTCTCCTGAGGGCTCAGTTCGTGTAAGGGGTTCAAGATGAAGCCCTGCAATGCAGACTGATGTCAACTGGGACTCTCCAGGATCATTCCAAAGGGGATTCTCCAAAGAAGTCACCACCAGCACACAATAAATTCTTCATCCCTGAGAAGCTGCCACAGGTGCAATACATGCCATTAACATGTATGCCATCATTGCAAGCACAAGGGTCACATCAAATGTGTGTGTTGTCTAAGGTTCAAGCCACACAGAAAGAAGTCAAACAAGCAGGGTAAGATTTCTGCTGCCACAAATAATGTTGCTGATCCAAATGGAAATTCAGCCAGTGGAACACTCACAGACATCTACACTACAGGGTTTGTCAACTGTGGACATACCTCCCCCATAGAAGAAGAGACCTACACTACAGTGAAGTTGCAATGTGTTCTGTATAATACAGACAGACTCAGGCTCTGAGTTAGCCTTAATTTTAAGAGAGGCATATAACTTGCTATGGTCTTGTAATCACTCCTCTGCTGTTCCACTCAAAGCAGGACTTGCCAACTTTGCGGACTTGTCAGTAAAAAGTTGATTTGAAAGGAGAATGTTACATCAGCCTCCACTGTGGGAAGAATTGAGGGGTCCTCTTTCTCATAGTTGCTGAAGGACTGTGAGCAAACTTGCTAGCTGGAGAACAGTTTGAGTCACTGGGCAGCAAGTTAACAGGAATGTACAGTGCTGTAATGGACACCATTCAAGATATCCTAAAGAAATTCAGCAACATTTTAAAGAGGAGCTAGATATATACCAACACCCATGATTTATTGCTCTGACTAGCACCAATTTGAATGAAGCTTTGTCATGTTGCATTTGCCCTCTGTCCAAAGACTTTGCACACTGACACCCACAGTAAGACACTTTGTAGCTGTGTCAATCAGATGCAAGGTTGAGTTCCAGATAATGTGCTGTCTACCTATCAAGAAAATATTATAGTGCCAATGGGACTGATTTTTATGAGTCCATCAGCTGGTGTTGTAGACCTGTTATATTCTCCAGCTGCCAAAGTGACTTGAGAAAGCCAAAAGAACCTGCTGCCATCTTCAATGAGATACCTCCAGCCCCTGAACTGAGTCATCCAATATGAGTCATTCTCTAACCCAAGTACTTAAACTGTTATCAAGGGGCAAGAGATATTATGTTCTGAAGGTTATGTGTGTGCGTGCACACAGTCCTAGCAGGTGAAGCGGTTCTGTGTTATGTTTGTCTCCTGTCGCTCCCTGCCGTTATTCTTGAGCATTCAGTTAAATGTTTTGTTTTGTTTTTGTTGCTCTGTGTCTGATCTCACCGGGACAAATGATACACAAACAAGATGCTAAAATAGATTGTTGCTTTCAGATGTTCTCCAACCTCATCCAAGTTATCAGCCATCCACAATTTCCTCCCAGCTCCCTGCCAAAAAGAACCCCTCTACACTGAAAGTGGCAGGATAACACTGAAAATGTTCTGACTATGGGATAGGGGAAACGATAAAACATTATTTTAGTAAGAGTTTAAATCACAGACCATCTCTTTCTTTCAGTTTCTTGGTCTGCTAGACACCTAACTTCACAAACCCCCTTTTCTTTCCACGTGTTCAAAATGGCCTACTCATGTTGGCCTTCCACTGCCTGACTAGGCAGAATTAAGTAATAAAACTTGATAATGAAAGTATGTTCAGTAAATACTATTACACTACTGAGTACTGAGGCCCTATTGAAATTAAATTCATCCCATGCTTTGACAGTGCCCTGTTTTGAGGTTGCAACTCTCATAGTGTAGATAATATAACATTTCATATATTGACAAGTTATATTCTACTCATTTTTTTAGCAACCCATATTAAGAGAGCTTAAAGCATTCTGGCTAGGCTTTTCTAATGGTACAAAATATAGCACCTAAGCAATAAGTAAATTTTGTTTAAAATATGTATGAAATGCATAGTAAGATACTGATGAGAGTTACAGTACACTGGTAAATTCAGGTTCCAAATAAGCATGGCAAAACTTGTTTTATTTTATGGTTGACTTTGTGTGTTTAAAAAAAAAAATCAAAAATAAAAAGAGACTACCAGGCATCTCCTCAAAAGAAGCTACCAGGCATCCCTGGTCCTGTGCACCTGATATCATCATTTTGGAGGCAGTGGGTTCCTGGCTTGTCATAATATTTTGACCATCTCTAAACCTACGCATCCTACTTTTTGGTGGGGCTCTCACCCTTGTTCTCTCAGATACTATGCAGTACATGGCATGCGGGCATAACACAAGTCAGGGATTGTCAACAGCCTCTAGCCTTGTTAAGAGCCAGCTTTCTTAATATGCGCTCCATTGTCATCTTGCAGCTGCTAAGGCAATAGTTAAACAATTCCTTTCTATGAGTCTCTTGTCCAGTAAAAAGCTTCATCAGCCAGAGAAGTAGAGGATAAGCTAGTCTCCTGAATGACAGTGGGACTATTAATACCAGTAATGTCCTATAATGGCTATAGGAGCAAATCTGCATTTTTCAATGTGCATATGAGAGTTGATTTTCCTCAGTATCTGTCACAGTGATCAAACAGTTCTTGGGGCACAACATGAACTCAGAGACGGGAGGGACAAAAAATAGGAATATGGTTCCATTTATTGAAAAGCAAGTCAGGAGCCCCGTGCATGCAAGCTATTGAGAACTACCTAGCAAGTCTAGGAACATGTACCAGTATTGCCTTCTTAGCAGTAGTGCCCTCCTAATCAGTAGCACTGTGTCTTGGCGCACTGGTCTGAATTGCTGCTGCTGCAACTTTGGAGTGAGCTCTGCTAAATAGTGCCCTAAATTCTGCTGATCATCACAGGAATATAGCACAGTCCCCACTCACCAATGATCATTTGTATCCTGAGCCCCAAAATGGCACGGCATAGAGAAAAACAAATCCAAGAAAAGTTATCCACAAGACACTAATCATATCCTCCCAACTCTCATTTTTGTCCTCAGTGTCTCATCTGCAAATCTGAAGCTCACCTGCAAAGTGTGGCATGCAAAGGCATTTTGCTTGGCACGCACACTTTAGCACAGAAATGTGCTGGAAATCAGCACAACTAAGTTCAAGGTATTGAGTGTTGGGAATTAAAGGTGGAAACAAATTTGTTTTTTACAGGAAAAGAAATTAGAGGTGGTATCTTCATTTTAATACCTTGGAATCTATTCTAATAAAAATCTGAGCCAGAATAAGCACGTGTAAAATGGAAACAGTAGGGTCTTGGGTGGAGTTCTGTCTTTGTACAATAACACAGGTAGAAGAGAAGTTCTGGCAGCACTAAAGATCTATAAATCTAAGGTATAAAAAAGTATTTTTAGAGTGTGCGTTTCCTCAGAGCATCCTTATTTTTTCCCATTTCCACCTGTTGCTAGAATATGCTTTTGTTTGAATTCTTGTGTGAAACAGTAACAGTGAAGTAATAGAGTTAATGGTAGCACAGCTACATTGTTATTTGTATTGCCCCTCTTCATTGACTCCTTGAGAATGGCACAGTATACTCTACAGGAATTTGGGGTTTTCAGTTAGAAAACCTAAAGAATAAGCTGGGTAATGCAGGTGGTGGGGAAAGGAAAGGCTGCAAGCATCCTGGCGTTCCTACCATTTCTAATTGTTCATAAGCAATAGGATAACAGTAATAATAGACAACAGTTCAGTGCCATAATTCATAGTACTTTTTGATGGAAGTGAACGAAGATTGTACATAAGTATGTTTAAGGTTTCCAAGTCAGAAAAAGTAAATTAGTTGGACATGGGAAAACTAGATAAAGAAATTTGTCTAATAATTCATTGTTCATTTTTTTTATCTGTGATGGAAGTTTGCGAAATCCTGAATGGTATTTTACGCTGGCGACATAAATCATTAGGTCCATCTTCTAAAGAGACTGGACCAATTCCGTATCTTTGTAAACATGTAAACAGTTACTGCCATTTGCATCAGCATTTGTGACTCTCTGCTCCATTTGTTTACATTACGTTTTGCTTCTGTAAACAGCCCTATAGATACTAAAATAAGTGCCTTGGGAATTCCATTGAACAGCCTTATATGGAAAAGTACATACAATGAGCAACTTAGAAAAATATGGGAAGGAAACACCTTCTGCCCAGGCTTTTTCACCATTTGCAAATTCTGCAGCTCACTTGCCTGACTGGATGAGTGAACCTTGAACTAGTTTGGCCCAGTGCAAGCACTGCTGTCGCATCAGATTTACACTTTATACACAAGGCAAGCTACTTATTTATCTCTGAGAAGATTATTTCTATCAAATGAATAGGTTCTTTCTATTGGTCTGAGCAATAGATATATAAGATTATATCCTGAAATTACTCACAATGCAGATGTTCATCCCTGAAAGGACTTTAGGCCAACGTACCCTTTATGTAAGTTGATCACAATTTGACCATATATTAATGAGCAAAACCAACGTAAACATTTTATTGTGTCATTTTAGCCATAAATACTAGACTCTGAGACCTAGTTTTCTGACAAAATCAGATCTGTCAATGATATATATCTTATTTGTACAGCATTCAGGGTAATAAAGAGTTACTTATCCTGAGTTTTTTGTGTTTCCCTTTTGCAGGTTACAACACCTGTCCCCAGCTGTCCAGGACAAATGACTCTTCATATCAATCCTTCCCTTATATGTGGGGGTGATGCATTTACGCATTCTAATTTTGATGGCTGTATAGAGTCTGCCACGTGCATTGTAGAGGCTATAAAATGTAATTTATAATGTTTTTATGATAGATTGTTTTGCATATAATTGTGCTGAATCCTATCATGATGCATTAAATGTTGGTATGCTGTTGGCAAAATTTGACTCTCCAGAAATAAACAAATTTGAAGACACTGGATTTTACTTACGTTTATTTGAGTTTTGAGGATTCATTTGATGTTTGTGTTTGGATGTTCTGCAGTAAACAAAACTTCTGTGACCTGATTCTATTGTGTTATTTTGCACACACTGACTTCATTGAATGTTACAAGCTTAAAGAGTAAAAGGCACTTTTGAAAACATTACTTGCTGCCTAACTGAATCTTTACATTTATACAGTCTGGCTCCAAAATACTTCTGAAAGATTCACTCAGACACTGTACTGCCACGCGTCCTTGACCTTTGCCCAGAACCATCATTGACATCAGTATTGGGAACCAGCATAATATGTGGCTAAAATAGTTACAACAAAGATTTCCAAACACAGGGGCCTAAAGTTATGATGTTTTAAGCTTAAGGCTGTATACCTGAATCAGTGGCCTGGCGGATTAGTGCCTGCCTGAGATACTGAGCACTTGACAGTTTCGTTGACTTCATGAAAAGGTGCTGGTTTCTCTAAAAATTAAGTCTCTAATTTAGGAACCAGGAGTAATATTGCTGCCTCTTGTCCCCCATACCCATCCTAAATGAGTGTAATAAGTAAAGATGATCATTGTAGCTCTGGGACAGGCTTTTGTTCCAAGGCAACAGAAACTCCGTTATGACTAGCAATGTTATTATTTACTTAATCTAGTCAAATCTGTGCTCTGATGTGTAATTTATTTTTAATATTACTTAACAGATACAGCTATTTTTAATTTGTCAAGACTGTCTTTGAATGCAAAATATGTCACTAAGAGCTGTATTTTTGCAAGATCCATCTCGTTACTACAAGAAATGTCATACCAATAAAGATTGTTACCTATCCTTGGTAAAGTCCAATCATAAGTGTACAAACTGCACACATCAAGGAAATAATTAAGAGGGAGTAAAAAAAAATGCATTTACTTGTATCTTTGCCTCCCTTGTCTCACTAGGTCTGTTACCTTGAAGTGTTCTCTAGAATATACTTTTGCATCTCAGCTGTAACAGTAAGTTAAATTTAATGTATTTAATACAACAAAAAACCTACTGGACCAGAAAATAGATGCCCTTAAAATAGTTCAATAATTTGCCAGTTTAGTGGTTCAGCCTATAGTGCATCAAGCCTCAGGGCTTTGATACTTTGCTGCCTAGAGAAAAACTGATCCAGTCTCCAAAATAAGAAGTAGTCTGGTGACTAAGGAAAAGGGACAGTAACAGCAAATATGGAAGCACACACCGTTATTTTAGTGGACAGGAAATGCAACAATGAGGTGTAGAAAAAATGTATAATATATTAATATAGTTACAAAACAAGGTAAGAAAAATAATCATAAACATGGGTTTCTAAGTTTAGAGTTACATTGGCAACACTATGAAATTAACCCATTTAAATCATAGTAATTATGCACTATAATAAATTCCAGACCTTAGATACTTTATTGATAGAACGTTTGTAGATGCAGATGTGTTGTGATATCTCTGTGAAAATATATAATGAGAAGGAATGAACAATGACAACACCCAAACTAAATGAAAATTATTATAATGGTTGTAAGAAATATGAACTGACAAAATTTCTGTTATTTGCAGCTACCCTATTTCTGTGAAGTCATGTTGTAGTTGCTCAGGTATTGCCTACAGAAGTCATATACATGTTGCAATTTTTACTTTAATTCCCACTTAAATCGTACGTGGCTGTTTCGAAATTTTTAGGTTCCTTCCTGTATAGCAACAGGTAAAAACAGAGAAATGTTATCCTCAGAACATACATATTTAACTTCTATATCCATAAAGTAAGTACAATTCAAACTACTTTTCATAGTAGAGCTCTGCCTCAGTTTTTCACAGATGTGAAAGCTTTGACAAAAAGCTGAAATATGAAATATATGGGGTTCTTGATAATAATTTCTTTAATAAAGTGCATTATTAATGTAACATTTAAATTACATTTTAAAAGTTTCTGAAGGCTTAAGTAATGAGGGAGGAGAGAGAAATGAAGTACTGAACTGCATTTCAGAGCACATATGCTTTTATTGATGTTTGCTTTTTGTTTTTTATCACAGGCCAGCTGGGCACTGTGAGTATATTAATTTAGCTACTGGGCTGTTTGGTTCGGGATCAAGGAGGCAGAGTTGGGAGTAAAACAATGGCAAATTTATTATAGCTTACACACACACAACAGTTAACAGAAAGATAAATGTGATAAGCAGATAATGCAGTATTAAAGAGGTAACAGTAAATAATAACAACAGATAATAACAACAGATAGATAGATCAATCTGTCGCAGGCCAGCTGGGCACTGCGAGGGTATCAGCCACTGGCTATTTAAAACAACAGACAGACAGACATGGGTTGGCAACTTATCGATAGTCCCTCAATGCCAGGTGCGCGCCAGCTGATTCCAGTCAAGTCAGGTGTCCCCGATAGTTGCTGTCAGAGGGATTACCGGGGAAGTTCCCTTGATCAGGATCCAATCCTCACGCACACCGGGGTCCGGGCATGGAACAACAGTGACCGTTCTGTTCCCTCCTTCCTGTTGATCACCTGATGCACGCGCTTTTTATACCTAGTTTTATGCTAATCTGTTGGTTTTAGAGCCATTCACAATCTTGTTCTATAGCTGTTACCCTATGGGATTAAAAGGTGTTAAAATTATTATAAAAGGTTACTACCCAGACTTGGGTTTATCCAATAAGCAATTTACAATGCAGCATCTTCAGGTTTGAAATTAACATTACCCCGCCTAAATCCAACCCCTTTAGAACTCTCTGACTATGCTTTTTTGAGATGTGCTTTTCCTGAAATGTGCTGAGTAGGCCAGGTGGTTGAATCCAGTTTTTATCATCATCAAGGCTAAATTCTGAGCAAGAAAGAACCGTTAGGTCAGCTAATTTTACAACTATAGCTTTGTCTTTGAGGCCTAGTCAGTTCCACAAACAGTTACAAATTTACATTTGCAGGTTCCAAAAATACAAGCTTTATATTAGACAAAAATTCCAAATGCCTCTAAGAAGCACATATTTATTGCTTATTAATTTCTTTGGTTCTGGCCATCACAGTCTATAGACATATTTTTAAAGCAAAAATATTGCAATACATAACAAAGTACCAACCTCCAAAAATCCAGGCTTAGAATGCTCTGTCTTGTTTAAAAAGAAATTTTGAAGCTAAGGTATTGAACTGTTTCATGAAGCAGTAGAAAGAGTTATAAACACACATGTGTCTCATAGAGGTACAATACTGGAATGACATAACAGGAATTTGGATTAATCAAAGTTGTCAAGGAAAGCTATTCACCTTTAAAATAAGCGTATTCAAGTGATAAATGGGTTTGGTAGCTGCTTGATTTCATATGTGCTCGCTAATAAGTACAACTTTAGCTTAAATAAAACTTTATAATACATTGGTAAAAAAGCTTAACTAATAACTTGCCTTCCTGCATGTCCATTTTAGATGCTCAAGATGACAGATTATAACAAGCAGGTGGATTTTTTCTCCTTTGTTTCTGGGCAGGAAAAATGGATCTTGGGGAAAAGAGTTTTACTAGTGTTACTTTTTGTTTAAAAAAAGCAAAACTATCACTGAGGTACTTTACCAGATCCTGGTATCAGATACAACATGCTGTATAACTCAATTAAATCAACAGTAAATATGAAAGCCAGTGAATTTACTTGATTTACACGGATGTACCTGGGATCACAGAGTCATAGAAGTAGGGTCAGAAGGGACCTTGTAGATCTTCAAGTCTGACCCCCTGCCTGGGCAGGAGGGAAACTGGGCTCAAGTGACCACATCCCAGGTAGTGGGATCAAATCTGTCCAGCTCCCTCATACAACAGAACCACTCTCCATGTTCTGTCAGTTGGAGTCGGTGCAGGGCTTTTCACTTAAAAATGCTACCTATTGTCAAAATGAGAATGGGAGTTATGAATTAACAATGTTCGGTTAATCAGAAACTACAGAAAATCATCACTTTATTGTTATTTTATTCATCCATATCTCTCATTGACTTCTGAGAATTAAAAAATTCCATGGTGAGGCTTTCTGCAGACTTGCCTGGAGCAAAATCTCACTTAAATCTGTTTTGGTGATCCTGATTTCTGTCATTTACATTATTCCAACTTCTTTCTATCTCATGAGGCAACTACTATGACAAGCAACTGTGCCCTAAAGGGCAACAAAACCAGGCTGGAAATACTGTTGTATCATTCAGTCAGATTACACTTTCTCTCTCCAGTACAGGAATTCCCAATTATTTATTTTCCCTAATAGACAAATATTGCTGGTAATCAAGAGCAATATATTCATTTGTTAAACGGATTTTATTGAAATAAACATGTGATATATAGACGGCTGGTTTGCACTCCAGTTTTTTATAGCTGACATTTTGAACTATGTAGTTTTAGTGTGTGAAGGAAATCATTATTTTAAAGAAAGATATAAAAATCCATTTACCTTTCACATTTTACATAGTTTGTCTTACCACCTTGATTAACCAAGCCATTTGTTTTAACAAGTTTTTTTATTTCTCTTCTAGCTTTTTTCCTTCCTGGCCTATTTCCTTCGTTCTGTGTTGAAACCTTGTAATGCTAAATTTGTGACATCCCAGTAGTTTCCTTTGCAACAGACCATGGTGTCATAAACACAAGATAATAACTTGACTATAGTTTTAAGCAATATGAGAAATTGGAACTATTCAGCAAAATGCCCTTATTAAAAGATATTTCTTCTTTAATATGAAAGAGACGGTAAGAGTCCAAATCTATTTATTAAGCTTCTATATCCCCAATTGTGTGTATATAGAGCTGAGCAGGCAAAGAAGGCACAGTCTCACACCTCTTAACTTGTGTTTCTATAACTACCAATATTCTGTCCTTTTAACTTTTGCTTTATGAAAGTCCCCATCTAAAGGAGGCTTCATTAAGAATGGTTCTGAATGAACTCTAGTTATGCAATTCCATTACTTAGAGCCTTGTTACAAAGTAATTTTGGGCAGCTCCTGGAACACCGCGTTAACACATTAAACTAGTTTTATACACTCGTTATGCAGCTCAAAGTTAGGCCACTCCGGGGAGGATTATCTCTGATCCGTGTTACCCAACTCGTGTTACACTAAGGTTTAGCCACTCTAGGCTGTGCCATCAGATTTGAGGAGGAATGTTAAGAAAACTCCAGTTTTGGCGATGTACAGGGATGAGAGAGGGAGAGAGATAGAAAAGTATTTTAGATGGTCACTGTTATTTTCAGAGATGTTTTGATAACTCAGTGATGGGC